GCTGCTGAGACAGAATACCTGGGCCATGTCATCGGCAAGGGGGTTATCAGGCCACAGGTCAGCAAAATCGAGGCCATGGAATCATCCCCCCTGCCCCAAACAAGAAAGCAGCTGAGATCCTTTTTGGGCATGGCAGGTTTCTACCGTCGTTTCATCCCTCAGTTCTCCAACAGGGCAGCTCTGCTCACAGACCTGACGGGATCACGTTCTCCCAATTACATCCAGTGGACAGAGGAGGCAGTGGCAGCATTTCATGACATCCAACAGTCACTAAGTAAGCAACCGGTTTTGTACAGTCCCAACTTTGATGAACAGTTCATATTACAGACTGATGCTTTAGATCGGGGCCTGGGAGCTGTCCTCCTTCAGGAAACCATGGAAGGCCGCCATCCAGTGGCTTACATCAGCCGGAAACTGTTTCCACGGGAAGTTCGGTATTCCACAGTAGAGAAGGAGACCTTAGCGATCAAATGGGCCCTGGACTCCTTCCGCTACTATCTACTGGGAAGAGACTTCACCTTGGAAACTGATCACAAAGCACTCCAGTGACTTGAGCAGATGAAGGACACAAATGGGCCAATTACCCGCTGGTACCTGGCCTTACAGCCATTCCGATTCACTGTCCACCATGTACCAGGCAAGGAGAACCTTACTGCTGACTATCTCTCTCGCTGTTCCAGCAAGAGCTCTGAAGAGGGGAGGTGTGTGATGGCATGCCACACATGGTAAGCTCCACACCTCACCACCAGTTGATTCACCTTAGTTTAATTTACAGTCACTACTTTAAAATATTCTACTTATTGTTCAATATTGTTTCTTTATTAAATGTATTTATTTTTCCATCACACCTTCCAATGTTTATATGGCGTGCACACATATTAACCTTGCAAGGTCAAAGTTCTGTTTTATGTTATATTAATACATCTTTCTTTGTTTGAGTTACCTGGGGTTTGGCTTCTCCTCCTGTCTGGCAAAGGGCTGGGAGACCTGAAGTACCACTGACAGCCTAATTGGATTGCACCACATGCTTCATTGTCTGGGGGGTGTTTCATGTTTGTTTAATTGTTTTGTATTAGTTGGTTATATGGCAGCCATTTTGTTTTCCCCCGTGTGTGTCATTTGGTTTAGCTAAACCAGTATTTAATTTCCCCCTGTGTCATTTCAGAAGGTTAGTTTATCTTATGTTTGTTTGAGATTTTGGTTATTATTATCTTGAGTTTAGTCTGTTGAGTTGACCTCTTTTATTGGTCTGCCTGTTTAAGTTTTGGCTTTGTTAAATATATTTTCATATTTTTGGGTCAATAAAACCCACTTTTTGAATTAAAACACCTGTGTCCTTTACGCTTTACTGCTTGGTCTCTGACACCGATCTTTGCTGGATTTTTATTTTTTTCAGGTCATGGCTTTCAGATACTGTTTATCCACTGTAAATAGTTTTCTTCTTTTCTCTTATACTTGTTCAGTTTCCTCTTTTGTTTTTATTTGTTCAGGTTAAGACCATTAAATTTTGGGATAATGGCTCCTTGAGAATAACTTCACTGATGGAAAAATAAAATGTTATGCTTGTCGAACTTTGTTTTCTGGATCATTTGTTGTACATTCAACTAAAGGAAAGAGAACAAATTATGTGTGTGGTTTTTTTTTTTCCCCAACAGGCTGTGAGTAACAAAGTGCCTAAAGATCCACTTTAAAATTGTATCTTTGGGCACTTTGCTAATTTGTGTGTTATGTGTAGATTCAACACTGATTCATCTCTTGAGTGAATGATTCATAGGTCAGTGTTAAAGTGTTTGAGTCAAAGACAGGGCTTATCCGAAGGACACAGGACTGCCTGTGAGCACATGAACCCCACATAACTAGTTTTTAAACCTGACTGCAAGAGACAGATAATCAGAAGACAGAAGAATGGGTGATCTGATCTAAAGGGAAACACTTTGCTGAGAAAATCACAATAAGCTGCACAGGGATTTAGTGTTACTGATGAGATTTTCTCCAGTATAAACTACTTCCCCCTTAAGCAACCTATCAGGGAAACCAAAAATCTAAAGAAAATGTATAAAATAAATAGATAATTGTATTTTTCTTATGATTTATTCACTAACGGTAGGTATCAACATGCAACATGCATGCTGCAATTTAATACTATTATATAATGCTCAATATATTGAAAGCAGATCGTCTTCATTATATCCTGACATGGGTGTAAGTGAAGAAGAAAAGGCAAAAAGCAGGAAATACATATTCGTTTATTCATTCACTGTGCTGTGGTGTCACTATGTATGTACATATTATTATGATTATTGATTTTTAATAAAGCTTCAGTTTATTTAATGAGCTCACTTTTCATTGTTTAGCCACTGTATGGCCACAAAAGCAGTGAAAATAGTATATGAAACATAATTTCTTACACAATTACATAAACATTTTAGAATATCTGTCATGGGTAAAGAGAAAGCTCGAGGTATAGTAGACGCAAATGATGATTTTAGTGGGTAAAATCATCAATCGTCATTGAATATTAACAACAGTGTTACAAATTGACTTCAGAGTATCAGCCTTGTTCTTACTGAGCAGAACTACAGTGAGGGATCTCCTCATCTCCTTCATATCTGCCCCTGAATCTGTGTGGAAAGACTGAACTCGCCTCCCAACATTTCTCAGTTCTTACATCGTCTCACCTGCCTGGGCCTCCTGTTTGCCAGGCTGCAGTGTTTTGATTCCGATAGATCTAATGAGCAGAAATCAGACATAATTACTACAAAGCAATCAGCTGAAAATGAGAATAATTCTTTTATTTTAGTAACCTGAATCAGTTATGTTATGTTATTCCCTGGCTGTACAGTGTCAAAACAGCAATTTGGCATAATTTTCTGTCTCCTCCAATCCATTCATTGGGATGTAATTTGGCCCCATTTTGGTCCCATCCTGCATCCTGTGCTCTGAGCTTGTCACTGTCTAGACACACCGAATTATCCCCCGGCTGTGTGTTTTCATTATGACAACATGATATTTAACTATGGCTCAGTTTAATGCTCCATTTATCATCATTATTTTTAAGGATGGTCTAAAGCAAAACGTGTATGGCTAATGAGGTTTCATAGAGTGGTCAGGCTCACAGGACTAGTTTTTAACCACTGTGTCACCAAATGAAAGTAATTTAAAAATACCATATTTTTTAAAAACATTAACCCTTAGGATATGTTGAAGTGTTTTCTTTAAAATGGTCTGATATTATTCATTTCCTTCCTCAGATTTATCAGCCGGCTCCCTGTATGCTTCGTGAGACCGTGGAAAATAAAAAATAAAGACACAACATTATCTTATTCTGTCTCCAGGAAGGGTGTCCCCATATCCTCACTTAGAGGGATACGGTGTCCTGCACTGGAATGTGGACCAAAAGGATCGCACATCCTGGAATGTTGGGAATGTTAGTAACGAAATAAGTATTGGTGCCAGGAAGAAGTTTGTAGGGTTCTTAGTAAGACCTTCCTAGGATTGTTTTCTTTTTTTTCCCTAGAAGATTCTTTGAATGTGACGTCCAAAAATGGCATGTAGGGTAAATGTTAAATGGCACCTGCCTTTGTGGTGCCCCAGGTGTTCCTGCCAGATTGTGAAATTTACAGGGAACATTTTGAAAGGTTGTTTTTTGGAATTAACCGAGTATGCAGAAAGGAAAAAAGAGAAGTTGAGAAAGAAAAATGACAGAATGAGGAATTAGTTAAAAAAAACAGGAAAGAGGAATTTACATTTTGTGTTGACAAATGTCATGGAAATAAAGTCTGCTTTCTCTTTGGACGGCATCACAGCGTCCTCATCAGCAAATCCCATTAAACAGCCGACAGCAGGAGTTCATCCTCATACTGATAGATTCATATCAGTGTCACTGGTGTTTCTTATCATTTGAAACTCGTTACAAAAGAACCCGACTTTAAATTTAAATTCTTTTGTCAACAGCTGTTTCCACATTCAGTAATAAACTGTGATCTCACTGCACTGTAACAGGAGTTTATTACCCTGAAAAACTAACAGTTCCATGTTTGCCATTTCTATAGGAGATAGAGAAGGATTAAACAAATCCAGAAGCATAAATAAGACAGTCGTGGAGACGGTAACACAGGAGCACTGACGTGGGAACACGATTGACGCAGCACAGCAGGCGTGCGGAGCGTTTTTGCAGCCGGATAATGTCGCCCTCTTGTGGCTGACAGGAGAGGATGGCCTGCCAAAATATGACAAAAAATATGCTTTATGACATTTTTTTACACAATTATGTGGGTTTTTTTTAAAATAAATTATTTTAATTTTTTATTCTTGAAAAGTCTAATTTTAAATGTACAAATTTAAAAGTACAAATAACTATTTTCATTATTAACGTGAACTAATGTTACGTATTTGATGCGGAGCATGATCGTTTTTTCCATTACCCCAAGGTCATTACCACATTTTTACTGTTCTATCTAATATGTATGTGTACATAAAAAGATGTTTACAGTGTGAACTACAACAGCTAGTAATTGTCATAACTATTATGTAGTGTCTGCAACAGGAAAAAATAAAAACAGGGGTTCCCCTCACAGCTGCTTGTCTTTTTTATTAACTGCGTGAATTTTACACTCCACGCTAAAAATTAAAAAATAAAATAAATATGAATCAATAATTTTGAGTAAATGCAATTGGATATATACAAAAAAAGATTTATTAGATTAAATTGAATGTATATTTATCAGTTACATTTCTTTTAACCAGATTCTATAAAATTTAATATTGTAATTTTACATTGTTTTGTGTTTCAAAATTAGACAGAAAATGGGCAGATTTTTATTTTCATTTTTTTAGATCATTTTATTGTATTTTATTGGGCCTTTTTTGAGTGTGTTTCATAAACGAGCATAAAATATACATTTTCTTTTTTGTTAATGTAATTTGCACAGTATTTGGCTTTATATCGTAAAAAAGAAGCTTCCAGTCCAATTTGAGACGTCACCAGAGTCCGTTGCCAAAGCAACAAGTAAACGAAACAAACCTTAGATGGGGGGGACCTTTCATCCAACCGGAACAAACCTACTACACGGGAAGTTTATTGGCTGGTCGTGAGGACACCTGTCGCTGATTGGCCTGTGAACCGCCTGCACTCGTTTATGGAAAAGGAGCAAGTCCTCGTGTTTCCCTTAACCATCAATTAAAGAGTAAACATGGACGAAGAAAAATACGCGTTTGAGCAGACTTTTTCTTTTAACGCTCTTCGCACTAAGACGTTTTCTTTCCTACAAGATAAAGACACCTTGGCACGGTTGATGAAATGGTGACGTAAGAAGTTAAGCCTAAAAAACAAAAGAAAAAACATCTTCCTTTGTTTATCTGCGGTGTTGCTACCTGTTGGATGCTCTCTGATGGTTGTTTGTTACATTCAGGTCCATGCTGGGGAGGATTTCCGCTCAGTCGTTCAGTTTTGACCACAGTTTCTCCCCTTACAGCAGTGAAAAGTTTGCTCTGGTACGTCTCTAGGATTAAAATATAAAAATGTAATGCTGCTTTGTCAAACCCAATGTAACTGATTAAAACGATGAAAAGGCGTCTTGGTGTGTTTGGTCACTTTTGAACCCCCCTCCATGTGTGCTCAGTGTTTCTTCAGAGACCCTGAGGTGCTGTCCAGCCTGAGAAAGATGGATGCTGGAGTCTGGGTGCCTCTTGGTATGTCATGTACCTTTCATCACTGATATCAGGAAATTGCTCTCATCTGCTCCAGTTTTTGCAGTCAGGTCTCTTCAGATTTTTTTTTCGTGTGTGTGTGTTGCAGACAAGCCAATGGTGTCTGTCAGTGTGGAGCCCACGCCTTGCACTAAGGTCTCCATGGAGCTGTTTGATCCAATTTATTCTTGCGGCATCTTGAGGCCCACTGGGCATGTAGTTAAATGCTTTCATGATGTCTACCCTGACTCTGATGAACTCCGACAGGTGAGTCTCTCATCTTTTTTTTCCTTTTTTCCTTCATTTTATTTTGTTGTTTTTATTAACTTTGAGCCAGTTCATGACCTCTTTGGTTGTTCCAGATGTTGCAGGATGAGGAGTCTGAGCACTACTATGTGGTTGGGAGGGAGGAGCGGGGAGAGTTTCTGTTTAGCCTCTTCAAGCACCTGTGTCTTGGGGGTGAGCTCTGTCAGTATGAAGACACCATTGATCCTTACATCAGCACCACAAAGCAAATATACAAAGATCTGATCAGGTGAGAAGCATCTGGCTCCATGTTTATTTATATGCATAAATGAGTCATGACCTAATGGTGAGATTTTGATGCATTTGTTTCGCAGCGTGCAGAAGGACCCAGAGACAAAAAAGATCGGCGTTGTCTCCAAAGTGCTCAAAGTTTGTGTCTTTGTAAGTCCCTGGTTCATTGTCTGCCTGTTCCCCCGTGAAATATAGAGAAAATGTTGTGCTGCTCATAAAGTTAGTCTAAATAAGAAGCTAGAGTCATTTTAGAAAAGCGAGTATTAGGGGGAGGATTAACATACGATGTAAACATGCATGTACTGACAGTACATAGACTTATATTCACTTAGAGCTATATTTTATATTAAAGTTTACAGATAATTTTATTTGATGTCAAGTACACCTTTTTAGGCATATCTGAAACATTCCTCTGAGATTTTTGTCTGTATTGTCTGATGATATTTAAGTACGGTGAACATTAACAGATAGACATGCTCGGTAACAATACTCAGGTAGGCTGTGGCATTTATAAACAATGCTCAGTTGGTACTGGGGGGCCACAAAGTAACCAAAGAAAATATTCCCCTCAGCATTACCCCACCAACAGCATGTTGATACAAGGCTGGATGGATCCATGCTCTCGTGTTGTTAATACCAGTTTCTGACCTCACCATTTGAATGTAGCAGCAGAAATCAAGAGCAGTCTGACCACGCTATGTTACGTTCAAAGTCTCTTAAATCACCTTTCTTCTCCATTCTGATGCTCAGTTTGAACTTCAGTACATTCAGTTCATTTCTATATGCCTAATTGCATTTTCTGTCGTGTGATTGGCTGATTACACTTATCCACTAATGAGCGGATGAACAGGCATGCCTAATAAAGTGGGCAGTGAGTGCATTCTTGAGACAGATTGAGACAAATCAGAGACGTGTTGTTTCCACGTGTGTTAACCACATAATTTTATTGTCTATAGGACGAATCTGGCCGATGTTTCCCTGGGGTGCGAGAGGAGGAGCAGACATTTGCCTATTTGATTGTCGACCCTTATAGACGTCACGTGACTTTGTTCTGTCACTTCTACGGTGTGGGCAACTTCACAGTGTGACAGCAAAGAACTGGAAATAGAAAACCCGCTGATTTCCTGCTGCTCACTATGTATGCATAATAGACTGTATATAAAAGATGGGCATCTCCTATGGGTCTGAAAAGTAAAGCAAATGTTAAAGTGCCTTGACCCTGCATTCTTGGTGGGAGGGTGCAATTGTATAGAAGCCAGTGAGCAAGCAAATACTACTGTTGCAGTCATTTATGACCTCAGGAAACTCTTCCATGGTCACTTTATAGTCTCAATTTCTACTAGCTTCATTGAATACAGCATGATTTCCATTTTGTAAATTAAGGTCCTTTAAAAAAAAAAAAGACTATATATTTTTAGGTAAGAGACTTTACCTAAAAATATATAGTCTTTTTTTTTAAAGTCTCCAACAGCAAGATGGTGACAGTCAAAATGCTCAAAACAGGAGTCCACAAATCAGTGGATGACATTGTTGGAGGCTACATCCATCTTTTATATACAGGCTATCAGATATTTTCAGTTTTCTTCCCATGAGGAAAGCAGCTTAAGACCAGTTCCCTGTTTTGAGTGTAAACTGTGCAAGAAAATGTTTTAATCCTGTCACATACAATTTACTAAAAGTGTGTCTTTGCAGCTGAATGTTTGGAGATACACATCTAAATAAGGATGTCAATATTTTAAATACATTCAGTTTTTTTTGGTCAAATATTCACCTTTAAACAATCTTGTCTCAGAAAGTCTTGAATAAATTGACTTATTTCTTGTATTTATTATTATTTTTTAGCTCCATTTCATTTCAACCTAAGATATGATATGTTGCGGTTGTCATGCGCCACCTACTGGAAGGCTGAATTAATTTGAAGTTTGAGTGTGGATGATGTACGTCGGAGCCTTCAGGGAGTTGAGTAGCAGCTCTTTTTCCACGTTCGTTGGCAGACCTTGAGTATCATTTTTATCTTGAAACAGAATTTTAAGCATTTTTATAGTTCCTTTTGAAAGTTTATATTATTGCCAGATAAAAGACACCCAACAGCAAACAGTCCAAAGAGCTTTAATAAATTAATAATTAGTCAAGTGATCCAATTTCATCTCCAGCAGATACACTTTTTTGTTGTTGTTGTTGTTGTTGCATCTCCTAAAAGGATCAAATGGAGGTGCTCATTAGATTAGAAAATAAATCAGTGCCATGTTTCATTCAACCAGTAGCCACATCAATTAGAGTTGGAAGACTTTGTTCAGTTTTCTTATTGCTTGATCAGTTTGAGTTTCACTTTAACGACAGTTCAGACAAATAGAGACGCTACAGAGCGATGCTGGAATGTCGGATGGCAGCAAGACAGTGAAAGATGGGCGTCATGAAGAAGACATGAAAAAAGAACGTGCAGATTGAGTCATGCATAGCATTCAGTCAGACGGTTAAAGTTTCTCATACTCGGGTTTCTAGACTAGCGCCCCCTAGTGGCCTCAGAGGTAGTTGTGTGGAAGCCATTCTGAGCTACGTGACATGCTTATGAGAGGAGACATGACAGCAGAGACTCCTGCAACGACACAAATGTCCATGCCTCCAGCCTCCACATCTAATACAGAAAGGGTGTCGGTGCAATAAGGACCTGGTAGGTACAACGATATCCCGAACATTCAGCAAAATTCTCAAATATACCAAAGTTTACAGCAGTCAGAACAAATCTTTAGAACAATCTTGATGTTTTGCGCTAACGTAGCATGTGACCATCCTCGCGTGATTTCAGTTAAACACGTCTCTTCGAAGCGGGCTTACGATAGAACGAGGGAGTAGAAGGCACAGGTATTTTCCTTTCCTGTCTTAACTCTAGGTTTTACATCCTTTAAGTTGGTCTTCTAATACTGGGGCTACCACGAAACAAACAACATGCAGTACAGAGATCTCGCATACATTTTCATAATGCTCGACATTCCAGGTGACGATAAAGTGACGGCGGCACTGTTCAGTTTAATAATGCCTCTAATAAATAGGCACCTCTTCTATAATCTAGGCTACGTAATAAAGCTACCGAGCGCCTCTCCGTGAATTAAATGAGAGCAAAACTGCAAGCTCATAGTGCCATTTTATTCCTCATGGCAGCAAGAG